TCACTTCAAATGTTAACGTTAGCTATTATATCCTGACATAACAAGGCAGTTTCTCCTCATTCACTCACTGTCTGATCATCTTCAGGTATTCTGAACTTCTTACATGAAGTACATGAAGACCATGGTCAAAAATTATACAAAAATAGTAACTTGAAAATTTGCCAAACAGTGTAACAAGACCTAAAGAAATGAGTTCAATCACGGTGGGTGTCGCTCTGCAGGGCTGCTCTGGGAAGCCAGCGGGCCTGGAGCGCCCTGCAAGAAGTCACCGAAAGCAGGAAGCTATCGAAAGGTGAAGAGGAAGGACAGTGAGTTCTGTTTGTGACGACTTCCTGAGAAGCCTTTCAAAATAATCTTATATAGGCAGCATTTCACTTTATTTTTCCCCCTTTTATCTTATTTGGCAGTCATAATATGACACGAAATTTACACCAGGAGAAGAACCTGGGAAGGAAACCAGCGCTCCTCCGTTCCTCCGTCACGGCTGTCTTTTGTGTTTGGTCTCTTCTGTATGTGTTGTTTGGATTCCTTACTTGTTTATTCTTCTGCATTTTTTAATTGTATGCTTAGTGCTTACTCTAGAGAGGGCGTTCAACTCCTAAACATGTAACAAGCTGTTTTGAACTATTACCACTTTAGCTTTAATTGTATAAAAAACTCTGCTTTTATACAATTCCATTTCCCTTTTATGTTGTTGTCATCATAAATTACATCTTTATACATTCTATGTTCATTAACATAGATCTTTAATGATTGTTTATGCCTTTGTATTTTAAATCATATAGGAGAAAAATGAGTTACAAACTAAAAAAATATAAAAACATAATATATAATATAAACATATCATATAAGTGTATATATTATATAATACAAGCACATTATATGCCATATTATATAATATAAACGTGTTACATAATATGTTAGATAATATAAACATAGTATATGCTATATTATATAATATAAATGTGTTACACTAATGTTTATGTAAACATATGTAATATGTAAGTGTATGTTATATAATTTTACTATATGTGATATTTATACATAATATAAACATTGTATCATATATTACATATATCCTATGCATGCCTAATGCATAATACATTATATAATATTTAATATTTAATAAAATATAATAATACTTGGTGGTTTCATTTACCAGTGCCCCCTTATTTCTTCACATGGCTTCAGGTTGCTGTCTAGTATCCATTCCTTCTCACTCAAAGGACCCCTTTTAGCGTTTCTCGTAGGGCAGGTCCACAAGCTGCACGTGTCAGGACCTGGAGGTGTGAACTAACCTGGCAGCACCGAGTCGAAGCCCTTGGCAGTCTTTTTCCTGGATGCCTACATCGGAGCCAGACTCCACCAGTGGCCCCGTTTTGAGTTGAACTCAGAACTGTTATTTCCTCTGCCTCATTCAGGCTTTGAAGGCGAGTCAAGACATCTGAATTTTGGTCCTGGTTCTGCCCATATCTAGCCATGTGACTGTGGGTGGACAAGGTTACTACGCTTATTTGGGCCTTTTCCTTATCTGTAAAATTAGGTGTTGTAACAAGTTTTTCTGAAAAGGCCACATAGTGTTTTAGACTCTGTAGGCCACATACGGTCACAACCACTCAGCTCTACCGTCGTGGTGCCAAAGCAGCCATAGATAATAGGTAACGGATGGGCACGGCTGTGTTCCAATGACATTTATCGATGAAAGTGGGAATGAGGCCAATCTGGCCTGTGGGCCACAGTTTGCCAACCTTTATTCTAAATGGTCTTGGAGAGACCTCTAGCTTTAAAATATGAAAAGTCTGATGATTTACACTGTTGTTATCAGTGTCCTTTCACTACTTTGCCTCATTCTGGAGCATTGTTTCAATAGACAATAGAATGGGAAGCATTACTACCACTTATTTGTATACCCTGTAGCCAAAGTAATTTTTTGCGGGTACTTTGTTTATTGCTCCCAATGAGACTATTAGGTGGATACTATTGTGATTGCCATTGTACGTAAGCAAAAGCTAAATTGAAAGAAGTTCCTTTAACAGGTCCAAAGCCACAGAGTTGGTAACAGCAGAAAACAAGCCAGTAGGACTCCAAAACCTTTGCCATGTTTTCTCCATCTCATGGTTCCTACATTCAAGGTTTTTTGCATAATAGAGAATTTGATTTTCTTGAGAGGGAAAACAAATCTTAAATATACTAATCTAAAGATTAAGCCTCAAAAATTCCACTTAGACTGTTTTTTAATTATATAAATAAAACAATCCGTTGCTGACTTCAAATGCTATCTCTAAGGTGCAATGCCAGCCAAAGAACATGTTGATGCTCTCAAAAAACTCACCATCTGTCGGGCAAAACATTTGAAAGAACTAGTGAACAAAATGCAGTTCTGAATTAATTACAGTAGAAATGCTTTAATTACTCTTTACTTACTGCACCTGCCAGACAGACCGACGCAGTCCCTTGGTGCCAGCTGGCCCACAGTGCTCTGAGTGCTTCTCTGGAGCATTCCGCCCAGGTCCTGTGTTAGGTTCCTACGGCCACAACTCTGGAAGGCCGAAGTCCAAAGTCAGTCTCATGGGGCTAAAGTTAAGGTGTTGGACAGGCTGGTTCCTTCTGGAGGCTCTGAGGGCATCTGTTCTCTTGCCTTTTCAACTTCTAGAGGCCACCTGCATTCCTTACCTTATGGCCCCTTCCTCAGGTACTCTGATGTCTTGCTTCTACAGTTACATGTTGTTCTACTGACTCTGACACTCCTGACTTGGTTTTATAAGGCCCCTTGTGATTACGTTGGGTCTATCCAGGTGATCCAGCATAATCTCCCCATCAAGAAATCCTTATCTTAATCCTTAATCCACATCTGCAAAATCCCTTTTGCCATATAAGGTAACAGTCACAGGTTCCTGGGATTAGGACTAGAACATCTTTGGGGAGCTGTTATTCAATCTCACACAGGTTCCATCTCCAGCTTCTCCCACAGGTAAATTGTACACTTACCAACAATTGGTGGTTTCTCGGTCTGTTATTGTGCTTATTCTTGTAACTAGCTAACTTAATTAAAAAAGTATGAAACCAGTAAAATATGCAGGTAAAAAGGGAGTTGCACTGTCTGTGGTAAATACATTAAATGAAATAAGATCATTTCAAAAATACGGTCAAATTAGGGGAGGCAAAAAAAATATCTGTGACAAGAAGTTAGACTGCAGAAGAATGTATATATGCACATAAACAATATGAGATAAGGATGGCTGTGTAGGCAAGATGACACAGAACCCTTCTCAAAGGAGATCTACTAGGACAAAGGACTAGGCCTCTCGTTAAAACTTTGGGCAACAAATGGCCATTTAAGTGTTTTTATTAAAAGTTCTAAGTAGGTATATTAAATTATGATCTTCTCACTTGAACTAACCTTTAGATTACCCAACCAATCTCTCATAAGTTTTTAAAAATATATATTTTAAATATTTTATTTTTAGAGAGAAGGAAAGAGAGGGAGAAAGAGAGGGAGAGAAACATCACTGTGTGATTGCCTCTTCTGGACCCCCTATAGGGGACCTGGACCGCAACTCAGGCATGTGCCCTGACTGGGAATCAAACCTTTCAATTAGCAGGCTGGCACTTAATATACTAAGCCACACCAGCCAGGGCTCTCATCAGTTTTAATAAAAGGAATCCTCTTACATGTGATTCAGGGTTTCATATGTTGATCACTTAGGACTGCAAAAATTTGGGAAGAAAGTTTAATCAAGAGTAGGGCTTAGCTCTGGATGGTGTGGCTCAGTGGATTGAGTGCCAGCCTGCAAACCAAAGGGTCGCTGGTTTGATTCCCAGTTAGGGCACATGCCTGGGTTGCAAGCGAGGCTCTCTGTGCGGGGTACATGAGAGGCAAACATTGATGTTTCTCTCCCTCTCTTCCTCCTTCCCTTCCTCTCTCTCTAAAAATAAACAAAATCTTAAAAAAAGAAGAGTGGGTCTTAAACTATACCTTGAAAGTTATCAAAGATCTGAATAGATTATGGGGGGTTGAGGAAGGCGCACTGTGTGAAACAAACAACATACAGTGGTCCTCCATATCCTCGGGTTCTGCATCTGAGGATTCAACCAGCTGCTGATGGAAGATATTTGGGAAAAAAATGCTACATTGTTGCTGAGTTGTCCTATGTGATTAGGCCTATGATGGTTGTATCTGTACTGAACATGTACAGGTATTTTTTCTTGTTATTATTCCCTAAACAATACAATATACCAACTATTTACATAGCATTTACATTGTATTAGGTATTATATGTAATCTAGAGATGGTTTAAAGTATACAATAGGATGTGTGTAGGTTATATGCAAATACTATGCTATCTATATAAGGGACTTGAACATCCTAAAATTTTGATACCTGCTCAGGGAGGTGGTGGAACCAATCCCCTGAGGATACCAAGGGATGACTGTACTCAGAATGTAGGGGCAGAGATGACTAAGAATGATAATTTCAACCCAGCAGGTAGAACCTTGATACTCCTACTACGGGTCTCATTCCAGCAGTGTCAGCAACACTGGGGAGCTGGTTAGAAATTCGGACTATCAGGTCTCACCCCAAACCTACTGAGTCAGAATCTGCAATTTAACAAAATCCCCAGGTAATTTATTGGTACACAACCTGTGAGAAGGGCTGTCTTAGAGAGCACTTGCACCTTCCTAAAATGCACTGAAGCATTACTATGATGCACACTGGATAGAATGGTAACAGAGTTCATCAGGCACCTACTATGAGCTGGGCCAACTACCCAGTGCTTTGCAAATCTTGTCCTATTTAATTCTCAGATGTCCCAGTTTTGTGAAATAAAGCTGATCTTTATTCTAAATAATGACACACCTTTCTTTGTTCTCTGTGATCCCTTTGATGGAAGTTGGTATAAAGAATACATTAGTGTCTTAAAAACCTCAAATAATCTCTTTTGAGTTTCAATATGCAAAATATTTTGACATTATATTTCTTCCCTCTCTTTGCTTCCTAGGTTGCAAACTCACAGCTGGAAAGATCTCAGATGCCTTAAAATTTTCAACCTATGAGAACAGAGAGGTAACTCAATAGCACTTGGTTTACAATGGGGGTAAAATAAAATAAAAACTGCAAGAGCTATATACTATGAAGTGGAATTTGGGGATGATAAATCAGATTGAGCCAAATCTTGGAGAATTTGGAAGGCATTCCGGGTACTCCTACAGTGCTGCATGCCTCAGCAGTTTACGCAGAAAGGGAGGGCTTTCTCAAGGGCACATTGAGACAGCTTTTCCTTGCCTTGTCCAGACTGGAAAAGATGAAATTCTTGTATCTTCTTGTTCCTCTCTGACTTTGACGCTCAGCCCACGCTGAACAGGAGAAATATGCGCAGCAACCCAGATGATGGGCGCTGTGCACAGCCACGAACATGCACGCTTCTCGCTCACTAGGTTGGTTTTCAGTGAACCTCCCATTCTGACTAAACTCCGTTCAATAAGAAAGATTCCATGGGTCTCCACCCAGCTGTTCTCTTCATACAGTCTGGGGGTGGCAGACAGAGTCCCTAAAACCGCCCAAGTACATAGGGGAGGGCTGAGTCTTAGTGCTCGCTGCCACGGGACTGAAACCCCAGAACTAAATCTAATTGTGTTGGGGGCCGGGAAGGGCTGAGGGGAATAGGAGGGTTAGTTTGTGAGGGGCATTCCTTTCTCTCACTTTCACAGAGAACATATTGTATTCCAGAAGCAGAAATCCGAATGTGGGAAGAGGTGGGTTAGCCCTGGAGGAAAGGAAATAAGGGCTGCGGGTTTCTGAAAAGGGCTGGAAGCTAAGAAATCAGGCCGTGCTTACTTACCAGGCATGATTCAATGGGAGCTTTGTGGCTCTCAATGCAGCCTGAACAGTAGTTTAAATCTGAGAAAACTTCCGGCAGAGCAAAGAATCTTTCCTGCTTGTATTCTCTACCACCTGAATCCTTGAAAGGAGTGTATTGTGTATCTAATCAGTCTATTTAAAAATACTCTAAAAGTTCTACATGCGTATTAACATTAGTACTGTTTTTACATTATTTCAACATTTAGCTAAATGATACAGTGGGGGCAGATCTCGGAGATATTGTAGTGTCAGAACACTGCAATGACGCAAATACCGCAATAAGGTGAGTCTTACGCATTTTATTCATTTTATTTATTTTCTTCAAGAACTTTTCATTTGCATTTCCTAACTGGTGCAAGAGCCCTAGCTTTTGGCCTATTTTGGCTTTTGACATGCCTTCCTCGCTCAGCTTAATCATCTGTAGCTTTTGATTTAAAGTGAGAGATGTGAGATGCTTCCTTGTACTTGAACATTTAGAGGCCACTGAAGGGTTATTCACTGGACTCATTTCAACATTGTTGTGTCTCAGGGAATAGGGAGGCCCAAGCAGAAGGGAGAGATGGGGAAGGCGGGTCAGTGAAGGAATCAGAACACACAACATTTATCGATTACATGGGTGTGGTTTGTACTGCCCCAAAACAATTATGATAGTACCATCAAAGATCACTGATTAGAGATCACCATAACAAATATAGTAATAACGAAAACATTTGAAACAGTGCAAGCAATGTGATACAGAGACACGAAGTGAGGAAAGGCTGTTGGAAAAATGACTCTGATAGACTTGCTTGACACAGGGTTGCTGCAAATCTCTAATTTGTGAAAAGCAAAATATCTGCAAAGTGCAATAAAAGTGAAATGCAATAGAATGAGGTATTCCTGCATATATATCCTGAAAATTTCTATTCAATGACTTGATATTATATTTGGGGATTGATATTGAAATTTGATATATATTTATAAATTATATATTATACGTCACTTGTTTTAACAAACTCTGGTGTTCTAATTTATAAATATATCATATTTTATTTATCTATTCTCTTACTGAGGAGCATTTAGGTTGTTTCCATTTTTCACTATTAGAAGTCTTGAATGAATAACCCTATATTTTCTCCTGGAGCACAGTGAGAAATTTTCTCTCAGATTTGTACCTAGATAGCTTGCAGTCCATCTTAACTTTTTTTCTCTACAGAGAGAATACAGCCCTGATTGGTGTGGCTCAGTGGGTGGGGCACCAGCCCACGAACCAAAAGTTCTCTAGTTCGATTCCCAGTCAGAGCACAGGCCTGGGTTGCAGGCCAGGTCCCCGGTTGGGGGTATGCAGGAGGCAACCGATCGAGTCTTCCCTCTCTCTCTTCTTCCCTTCTCCTCTCCCTAAAAATAAATAAAATCTTTACAAAAGAAAAAAAGAGAGAATACATATATCTGCCCAATGCATGGGACAGCTGTTTGGAACAAGTAAGCCTGTAAATATAAAAGGGCTGTGTACAGTGTACGAATATACAGCATTATCATTCACAACTTAGAGTGATCTCTGCAGTCTGGGTTACTGAAGATCTTGTATTTAGGGGACTGCCAGCTTTCTTCTAATGATCACATCGTCACTATCACAGAATGAAAATGTTAGTGCATTTACTCCTACTGGTACACATACCTAAATCAGCCCCATGGACGACTGAACAATAGAAGGGCCACTTATGCTAGTGGCATCTGGGCTCTACCTGCCACCAAGGGTTCCCAGGCCAGCCTGGTGGAGTGTGGCCCACTTCCAAACCTTCAGGTCATCACCTGCTATCTTGGACCACTTCCAGCACCTGCGGCTGCAGGTTAGTGTTTCTCTAACTAAGCAGGGTTGCACAGAGGAAGAAATTAACTGTGATGTTGGCCCAATAAAGCCTTCGGTCACCCAGCAGGAAAATCTCGAGCCAGCATTGCCTGTCAGTTTCCTCACTTGGGCCGAATGGCTATGCCTTTATATCCCTGCCCCCTTCAGTCATTGAATTTGGGCTCTTCTGGAAAGGGCTTTATCTAGGATGCGGCAGCTAGCTCAAGCCTCTGTCTGCTGACCACACTCCCTGTAGCTGGGCAGCACATCCGACCTCGTAGGAGCACCCGAGGGGCACATCTCTGTGTCTGCCACATCCTTGGGGTCGCGTTCTTCACGCCCGACTGCTGAAAATAACAGCATTACAAAAGTTCATTCCAGTTGCCAACCAATCACAGAGTACCCTAACATTACAAATACAAGTCTGATAGCATAAATCTCATCCTGAGACTGGGAAACAAGTCATCTAGCCACGTATTTTTGAGAGAAATAACACCCTTAGCTATTTCTTCATCACAATATGGACACTCAGAAAGAGATGAGTCACTTATATTTTCCTCTTTTAAACCTCTTAGAAAACATCTTAAATGCTTTTTCCTTTGTAGTGCCATTGGAAAAGCAGCATCACCTAGTAAACCCTGACTAATGTACAATTAAACCGCCCCAAGTTAAACACAGCTCGCATGACCGTCATGGGTTCCCTCTGAAGAGCTGAGTCACCTGTACAAGAGCAAACTCCCCTCAAAGAAGAACAGAGACATGGAGAATGAGAGGAAGTCTTGCTGATAGAGACCCAGCAGGAAAGGGAGCTTGGAGGTTAGCCATAATGCGAACTCCCACGATGCTAAAATAATAAAATAATTTAAGGCCACCAAAAGAGTGTTTACTCTGCCTCGTCGGTGTTGTCTCTGAGGTCGCACCTGGTCCTGAGGGGAAGCTGGGGGAGACCCACAGGGACCAAATGACCCCTCCAAGGTCATGATGCCTTCACAACTGGGAATAACGCCTAGGCTGTCTGACAGGAAGAATGAGTTTGTTACTCTCTTCAGGTTGCTCTCTCTTCAGCGCTGAATATGCTAGTATCCATATGAATATGAGACATAGCAAAATCAGAGCTGTACTTTGTTTTCTGCCAGCTGCATTTTCAAGATCCCCTTAGCAACGCTGTCAGTATGCACTGGCTGTGCGTGTGCCTTCCACCACCAGCCACACGTTCTCGGTCGCAGCCCACTTCACCTGTGCTCCGCAGGGAGCAAGCTTTCCCTGGTGCTGTCGCCTCTTCCACGTGCCCCAAGAGCTGCCTCTAATCAATGACTGGCAGATATGGGGTATTCTGAAACATTTCTTCCAATGGGACAACCCTGACATGGGCTCTACCTCCTCCCAAGACACTTCTGCTTGGTGTCACCCCCTTACTTGGTCCCCTTTTCTTTCCTGTCCCACTTCCTTATTCTTGTGGTTTTTCCTGAGAACACTCCCTTGTTAGAAATGCTCAAGAAGCAAAGGCGGGAGGAACCGGATGATCTGATCCAAGTGCCATTATTTGATGCTGCTCTTATAGGTGGGCTGAGTCCAGACTGACTGCAGCCTTGGGGAAGGTAGGAATGCGTTTTTTTAAAGAAAAAGCGCAGGGTTTCTGGGGGATGGGGGAGGGGTTAGTCTCTTGTTCTTCCAGGCGGGTGCCTCAGGGTTTCAGGATGTGAGCTGGGACTATGGGTTAGGGAAAAGGCTGGGCTGTTCCCAGGTACAGGAGGGTCAGTTTGAGCACTGGCCATTGTGGCTGGTCCCAGGTGTCTGCTGTGCACGATGGGAGGGAGTTTTGATTCAGCCTCGGGCTATCAACTGACTTGGGATAACTGAGTCACGAGCAGCCCAGCGGGTTGGAAAACTGGCCTGACTGGGTCTTGAGCAGTCTGGCGGGCTGGGAGCTGGCCTGACCCTTTCATCCCTAATACATCATCTTCATATGAATTTTCTGTGTCTCAGAATCTGCTTCCAGGGAATCCAAATGAAAAAACAACTCTAAAATAGCCCCTCCCCCCTCCCCCCACCAACAAAAACCACCCTTTCCTGAGCACATACCGTACAGAGCTGAGCATCAGAGAGCCTTGGTTCAAACCCTGGATCCACTACTCATTTGTCATTTGATGTGAGACATGCTATGGAGACTCTTTTATCGAAGTCCCCCCTGTGTAAACAGGGAGGTAATCTCGCTCTTGAGGATGCTAAGTGCCTGTGTTTATTGGGTATGGGTTGGGGCTTGTACTTAGTTAGGGAAGAGGCCAGATCAATGCCTTGTTATGTACTGAGGCTGCAGTCAGATAACCTGCCCAAGTGTTTATCACTGATGCCTGTGACTACAGAGTGAAAAAATTTATTTCCAAATATGGCTGATGAACCGGGCAGGAGGAGTGGTATTTTCCCCTCCTAGGGCTTGACCATTGAAGGGCTCTGGATGCACTTGTTGACAGACTGGTGAACACAATGAGGTAAGCTCCCGGAGTCCATGACAGGAGCTTTGTAGGGGACACCGTGGGAAGTATTAAAAGAAACTCTAGGGAGCGAGTGGAACAGGTACGAGCTGGGGCGTCAAGCCTGAAATGCGGAGGGGAAGGGTGCCTGGTCCAGCAAGGTCCGAGGCAGTAGCAGAAGATTCCAGAGGAGGACCGCCTGGGGTGGGAAGGCCTGAAGGCTTAGTTGGAATAGGTGAAACCGGACGGGGACACAGCACAGGCAAACATCCCAGAGGAGAAGCTTCCAAACAGATGTAATCCCTTACTAACTGCTAGGTGAACTGTCAGGGCTTATGGCCAAAAAACCCACCTCGCCCTATTTGTGTAGGAAGAGCCTGCACTGTCCATCTGCAATGACTGGAATTCCCACAATTAATCAATCCATTTGATTAAGGCCAGATTTCTTAACCTAGTCCCAAGGCCCAAGGACCTTGAATTCAGGGAGTTCATGAACTTGAAGGAGGAAAAAGTTGTACCTTGACACTCTTATCTAACTGAAATTTTAATTATGAATGTAGTCCACAAACCTTAGCACTACCTAAGACTTTGTCACCAACAGAAATCATAGATGCTTTTGTATAGCATTACAGTTGCTGTTTTAAGAGCAGCATTAGGTTTGCCTCTAAATCTTGTTTTCTAATGTATTATTAAAAAAAGAACATGTATTACCACATCACGTTTTAAATGCAGTTTATGCGTTTTATGTGAGCAGTGCTTTGATATAGTCTTCTTTTTATTTTATTTTATGCATTTAAAACCAGTATTCTGAAGATAGGTCCATGGGGGAAAAAATAAGAATTAAGGCACTAAAAGCCACATATTAACAAAAGCTCATGTGAATAAAAGTTACTGTTTTCCTTAAACACTCATCAGATGGGCGTCATGCTCCTGTGAAGAAAGGGAACAACAGAAAAGACAAGTCTGGAGGAGGAGCGAGAAGGGAAAGCCGTGCCGGAACAGAGCTGGGTGGGTGTGGTCACCACACCTGGAGAGTTTTTAGCAGACTGGCAGGTCCTGCCTCAGAAGAAGGCAGAGAGGGTCTGTTAACACAACACAACAAATACACACCCCCCTTCTTTCTGCAGAGTGATTGGAGATTGAGGATGAGTCAGCCACCACGAAGGTGTTTGTTAAAAATACAGATTCGTAGGCCCTGGGTTGTGCGTGGGCATTTGTATTTTTAACAGGCACCCCAGCTGATTTGGGGGTAAAACTCAGAGTAGGGGGTCTTGCCTATATAAGAATGTTTGGATAGAAGGAAATGCTGTCATTCTCCAGGGAACAACTGGGCTATCCTTGACATGCTAATTTGTGCCTTAATTCCCAAGGAACGGAGACTGTGACCCTGCAGGTTACAATCCAGCCTCCTGCTGGGGCAATTGGATCTTCTACCCTGTAGAAATTTTAAATCCTGCGACACTCACAATGTATGGTGCCCTATTTTTTAAAGCCTTAGGTCTGGGATTTCCTTGAACTAGATGAATCTTTTATAGTAGGTCTGTGTTCTAAACTACACTTCCCATCTTACTTTTATAAAGAATGAATACTTATTAAAATATACTTATTATGTAAATCACAATGTCCTAACCTTAGTATAACTGAATGAAGTGGGCTTTCTTTCTTTCTTTCTTTTTTTTTTTTACTTTCTGAGGAGTAAATCCACAGTATGTTTCAAAGAGAGATTTAAATTGCTAATTTCCCAGCATTGAAATGTGAGGAAGGATTGTCACAGATTTAGCATGGAAGCCACGTATGTATTTAACATTCCTAAGTAGTAACTGTCTCTTAGGTTGAGTTTTAGCTTGAGAAACTGCAAGAACAGATTCCGCAGGATGGGGAAACCTTGTTGCTTATTTTAAATGTAATGAAAATGTGTGAGAGCCTCTGCCCTCCAAGAAAGAGCTTTCTCTTTAGCCTCCCACATGATTTTGTACCTCTGATCACATCGGAAAGAACCTCTTCCCCCCCCCCCCCAAATGCTGCCTGAGTTCTGCATTTTGGTGCCTGGAACAAGGAAGTGAGGGGATTGATATGTAAGACACACACGTAACAGAAATGTAAAGAACAAGCATATCACCAGACAATATATATAATTTGGAACAAAGATGTTGTGGACAAAAAAGGGGCCACACAATAAACCTGACAAGCTTAGGTGAGGCCTGTATGGTGGCCTTACACACTCAGACTGAAGGTAAGTAACCACGTAGGATGGTTTGAACACAAAAATTCCTAACTAAAGGAAGGCCATGGGGGCAGTCCTGTCCCGAGCCTGTAGCTTCCTTGATGAGGGTCAATCTTCGCCTTAACTGAGCCTCTCTATTGTCTTTTTGCTTCTACGTAATATACCTTTGGGATGTCATAGCAATCCTTTTTTTTCCCCAGACCCCTCAGGGCACAATCTCCCATCAGAGCAGAGACCACAGAACCCCTTGTTGTTGTCTTGTTGTCCACATACAATCTCTCTGTGCTGTAAATGTTCACTGTTAACGATCCTATACCCATCAATGCAAAAGAAGTATTTGTCTCTCTATTTTTTAAAGAGATTTTATTTATTCAGTTTTAGATAGAGGGGAAGGCAGGGAGAAAAAGAGGGAGAGAGAAACATCAGTGTATGAGAGATACATTGATCTGTTGCCTCTCACACGCCCCCAGCTGGGGACCTGCCCCACAACCTAGGCATGTGCCCTGACTGGGAATGGAACTGGTGACCTTTTGGTTCACAGGCTGGCACTCAATCCACTGAACCACAACAGCCAGCACTGTCTCTCCATTTTACTTTTTATCCAGTCTCAGAGATTTCCCCCCTTTGCTTTCTCCTGCCTCCGTAATTTACCACCAATGTGAAATTTCATATAACATCCCTTTTATCTCTTCCTTTGATTCTAATGTATAAATTAAGCAGTAAAGTTGCCATTCTCCAGAGCATTTTCTCACTCCATTGAGATTTTGCTTCCTGGCAATTGTCATTAGTTTGGCTCAAATAAACTAAAAAATTCTCTAAAGGTTTGGACATTTCTGCCATCAACATTTTATTTGCCTAGGGCTCAGAAAGTCACGCTGGAATTACTGGGAGGGACTGAAACTGGGTCTCCCCTTTCCCAACCTGTGTGGCCTTCCAGCTATTCCCTTGGTGCTCATTCTTTCTTAAGTGGCCAAGGCATGTCATTTTGACTGGTAGCAAAACCTCATTGTGGCTTTTCAATGGCATAATTGTTACCATGGAGAGTTAACTAATTAATTAATTATTAATAAGAAAGAGGGTAAAAGGAATTAGACATTGAGCTTAATAAACTGGGGACAATGAGTCTATTTGTCTCACGAGGAAGTCACAGCTTCACCCCAGAGGATCA